AAATCTTTTCATGAAGTCTCTGGTTTTTCTTCGGGCAATATATGATTGATAGACTTGAAGGCATTGTGAGACAATGAAAGTATGCAGAATTTTGTTCTTGGTTTCAAGCTCCTATACTTAACACTGGGAATGAATATTTTCTGTCTATGGAATGAATGGCTTGATTATTTTGTGCCTTACTGGTGAATTTTTATTTTGAAGTTTGAAAATTCCTGCCATGTTGAAGATAACATTTTATAATGTTGTTTGGAATATTTAAACTTCATAAATACTGTCCTGATTTCAATTGTTGATTATATTGTTTAAAGAACAGATACATTTTCTTCTCAGAGAGAATAAAATGTCCTTGTTTGTATTCAAGAGAGATTGCCTAATTTGAATGGAAGCCAGTCTTAATTCTGTATATGCGGCCTTATCATTCACATGATGCTATAAACAAGTAGCAGCACATAAAGAGGAAGTAAAATGAATATATTTTTCTAGTTATGGGTATATAGGAAAATAATGCATATGTGTGTTTAATATTAGCGTTGCTTTTAATTTTAAAAAATCAAATTATCAATAGAGTAATATCTTTTTTTAAATGCCATATTAACAAACATTTAAAATTGTAGTAGTTATTACATTTTAATTCTCATATTTATGTAAATATAAAATATATTTTCATAAACTTGTTCGTCTCTAAATTTTATTTAATGTGATCCTAAACCATTTTTGAGATACTGATGTATATATGGATAGTCAGCATTTATGCCCTTGAAACAAAATATAATTATTTCATTTATTTTTAAAAAGACTATTGCTACCCAAATTTGTTCTTATTACAAATTTTAGAATGTTAATTGATCTCCAAGCTAACTCCATCTTGCTCCCTGCAGGCATCAAATCACATCAAATCTATTGCAGCCCTAAGGCCAAATACGAATAAAATACCTACTAATAGAAGTACTACATCCTTGTACAATCTTTCCCAGTTCTTAAAAAACCCTGTCCTCTTTGTGGATATTGTTCAATGGCATAACCTGGGCACTTTCACAAGCATTGGTATCTGTGTAATTCTACTTTTCTGTGTTAATTTAAAAAGAAATAAGTTGCAAACTATTTATGCGTAACTGTGACCACAGTTCCTTAGGTTCTTTGGTAGCTGCCGTTTTAAAAATATTTCTTTTAGGCACAAGAAAAGCAATTGCTATGTAGGTGTATTGAGACATTTAGTAGATGGGCCACCATATTCAATATCAACTGCTGTTTATGAGTGGTCTTCAGAAGCAGATCCAGGTGGAATGAATTACAGTAGTCAACCAATGCCTCTTTGCTCTAGAAATGGCCAAAACTGATAGACCAGCCAAGGCTGGGCAAATATTTTTCTGGCCACAGACTACCTCTTGACTTATTGGGAATTGTGAGTCCAGAAAGACCCGCACATTGTGAACCACCTCCTTTTGGGGGAACATTTCTCTATCCAGAACAGATCAAACAATCATTTGATGTCTGAAAGAAGCTCTCCCCGCAGTAGTTGTCTTATTTCTGCTTTTAAAATATTTTCACTGCCTTTACATTTTTCAGAAGGGTGTTGTCTTATATCTGAAGTTTGCAGATGACACAACAGTCATTGGTCTCATTTGAGATGATGGTGTGTCTGCATATAGCAGCTGGGATAATCTGGAGCTGAACACTTTTAAAACTGTAGGGATTATAGTAGATTTTAGGAGAAGCCCTCCTATTCTACCACCTCTTACAATATTACACAACACAGTACCAACAGTAGAGACCTTCCAAGTTTCTGGGTTCTATACGAACACCTAACATTAGAACCATCATTAAAAGGGCACAACAAAGAATGTTCTCCCGGTGTCAACTCAGAAAGCTCAGATTGCCCAAGGATCTGCTAATAATAAAGTTCTACAGAGGAATTATTTAGTCTGTCATTTGTACCTCTATATCTGTTTGGTTTGGCACAGCAACCAAACAGGAAAGGTACAGAATTCAACAGACAGTTAGGACTGCAGGAAAAAAAAAAGTTGCAACCAGCCTACCTTCCACTGAGGACCTGCATACTGCATGAATCAGAACAAGGGCTGAGAAAATATCTACAGACCCCTCACATTCTGGATATAAACTGTTTCAACTTCTCCCCTCAAGACCCTACTATAGGGCATTCCATGCCAAAATAACTAGACACAAAGGTAGTTTCTTCCCCCATGCCATCCCTCTGCTAAATACCTAGCTACAGCACCGTCTTCTTCCTAAAGATGTTTACCCATGTAAATGGCTGTACTGCTATATTATCCTTGCCATCTTTTCATCCTTCTCATCTTCTCGTCTTTCTCACCTCTCACCTTTCCTACTACCTTCTCCTATTGGTATATATATGATGTATCAATTTTTGTTGTGTCTTATGATTTATTGTGTCTTATGATTTATGACTTAGCACTTTGTTGTTTGTATGTATACTGAGAACTTATTCACCAGAGACAAATTCCTTGTGATTCCAATCATACTTGCCCAATAAAGAATTCTATCTACAAGTTGCTGAATAAGGCAATTTATGAAATCAACTGGTTCTGTGTGTGTGTGTGTTTGTGTACAGAGAGAATGTCAATTGGATGAGCTGTTTCCAGTTTGGGAAATTGTAATGAATAATGTCACAAACCTTCCTCTGTTTTCATAATTTTCTCAGATAATAATATGTTTTGCTATGATTTTTGTCTTCCTGTCAGGAAGACATAAATATTTCTAAATATTAGCTCTATTAGCCCTTCCTACGACCTTTCCCTCCATAGATTGATTAAACTATCACTTCTCTGTTATGTTTATGTGAATTTCCACAAAATGATTTACAATTGGATATCCCAAACTGATGTTTTCTGTAGAGGCTTCATAACACTTGGATGAGAAATTCAGATTCAGAAAATGTCATACAGAGGAAAGGATTTGTGCCTCCTTTTCCTAGTATTTGAGTTCATGATGACAAATAACACTTTTTAAGAATCAGAGGAGATATAATTATGAATTTCTTGCCATCATGTTTAATTAGAATGAGATCATAACCTTCTGCACTGTTATTTTCTTGGCAAAATATATCTTGGCTCATTTAATTATTGCAATTTTCCTCTTTGGTCTGCCTGTGTCACATTTTGGGCAGGCTTGATTTGGAGAAAAAGTACTGTACCTTATAATTGGTTCTGCTTTGTAACTGTACAATGAATTCAAGCACCCTAGTTCTTGTTACCTGTTGTTAAGATGTTTGTTTTCATATTTGTTGTCAAAGCAGCCTGCCAGGATATGAGAACATTTACAATAAACTTTTGTCATGGCACTTGTTTTTTCATAGGCTATAATCAGCTTGTTTTAATTACATCAAGACGGATGCTGACATTTCTTTTAATTAGCTGCCTATAGCTAATTCTTTTAAGGTCTTATTAAGATGCAAGCTGCATAGTCTCTGTATAATTTTTGTATGTATTTAGCTTTATGTAAAGCAATATATCCAGAATAGCATGCAAACAAAGTCTTGTTTCTTCATTAAGAATCAGGAGGAAGATTTTGAGGAGAGAAAACTAGAAGTTGATGAGGCTTCCCTTAATTGTTAGTCAATAGCAATTTACTGAGTTCATGGAAATACAAGAATACTGGGAAAGAAAGCTTAGAGGGAGAAAAGAATCATGGAAAGGGAAAAGAATGTACAGATCCAAATTTGCTGAGTGTATTTTTGTACTGGGAATCTTATTCTTCCCCACAAATTTTCTGCAATATTTTATTATGGTGATCTTTTTTCTTTGGGTTTATGATGAACACCTATCTTTCTTTCTCTCTTTGGGAAGAGGGACATTTGTCCTGTAGATTTGTGGGAACAGTTCAAACACTCTCCTCAGTCTGTAGAATATTATATACAGGAGTCTTTGTCTAACAACCTCATTTCCATTGCTAAGTGAAGATGTTGTTAGGCAAAACATCATGTGACTGCACTACTTAGCAATAGTAGTTCCAAAGCTACTAGGCAAGGACAGTGTCATTAAGTGAGAACCTCGTGTCTCCTGCCCTGCTCAATCTGCTGCCCTCACCCTGCGGCTTCCTCCCTAGCCAGGCCTGGCAAGCTCCCTTCAGCAGACAAGACTCCACTGTCTTGCCACACTTGCCACTGTCAGCTAGAGGAGGTTTGGGCTGGCAAAATGGCAGAGGTAGGATGGGGAGATGGGGGGAGCTGAAGCACATGCTGCAGTCTAGGCTGGTTATCAAGTACCCACATTTTGATCACATGACCATGGGGCACTGCAAATGCCATAACTTTGGGGAGAAGTCATAAATACCATTCGTTCAAACCTGTGGTCACTTCAAATGGTCACCGAATGTTGTTGTTAATCAAGGACTGCCTATTTAGAAGCATATTTAGAATTTGTACCCCAAAAAAGTATGAAATCAGATGCTTCACTTGCATTCCCTCTTTATCGGCTACAGAAATATCCACCCAATCTTTGTAATATCCAGGCTAAAATTATTTTCAATTAATTATTCAGTGTATTGCAGCAGTATGATTCATGCCAAATTATTTCTGTAATCGATAACAACCATAATTTTGGAAATGCTTTTACTACTAAATGGGTCCTAAAAATAAAAAGAAATAAGCTGGTCATAACAGACTTCTTTCAGATGCAAACTAGATATACATGAAGTTTGGCATTTATAAAGTTTATACTTTCAATCCACTGTAGTTAACTATTTACATTCCATATGTATTCCTTTGCTTTATATCTCTTAGAACACGGAACTTTTTATAAGCTTAGTCCCATAAGGTTTGGGATATTATAGCCTTTTATTTCCTTTCCCAGAAATTCTTTGCAATCGTTTAAGGGATTTGGCTTAGCAAAAGGAACTGGAGTAGAACTGGGTTAGTTCTTTTCTATGGGCCATAAAGAATATTGTGGTCTTCTACTTCATCCTATCTGTGGTTTCCAGATAACAAATGTTGAAGTGTAACTCCTGGTTCTTTGATCCCTTAGATGACCACTATGCCTGGATTGCCCACAAGGCCTTGCTTCTATGATATTGACCTGGACCCTGATACAGAACAAGTAAAAGGGTTGTTTTGAATGTTCAAGCTAAAACACAGCATCAGGTGAGTGGCTTACAGAAATGCTACAACTCCCTTTTTTGAGAATGTTCTCCATTTAGACTTTGCTTCAAAGCTCCTTGATAAAATAAGAAAAGGGCAAAGTAAAAATATAGGTTGTATTTTCCAGATAATTACAGCAACTATTTTAGCAGCAAATATATGCTTTTCTCTTAAGTTTAATATAACTTATTTTAAAAAGATTCTCAGAACCACTTAAAGTCAGTGACAAAACAGCTGTTAATTTTAACAACTTTGCATTGCACATGAAGTGTTTGTTTGCAAAAGAGTTAATGCTTGCTATTTTTTTCTACTCCATGGCTTTTATGTATTTGTCTTATTACAAACAAACACAAAATTGATTATACATATAAGGTTATAAAGTGAAACCTACTTATTTATTTATGAGATATATTCTATATTTATGCTCCAGAGCAGAATGTACAACTAAATCTGGCAGGTCCCGCATCTTCTTGATGAGTCAGATAATATCAGATGCAGAACCAAGGGGGGGGGAAGTCCACCTCTGATATATTAGGAAGTAGTAAGAGAGCGCAATGGCTCTCCACCTGTTCCAATATTACGCAAGTTCCAGATACTAAGTTTATCTTCCAAAATCCAGCAGAAGTGACTGATCTTCACCGTGTTATGTATCTGCCCTTCAGAAAAGGTGTGTGCTAACTAAAACATAATAAGGCGCAAGGTATTACCACTGACACATGCAAAAGCAGCTTTGGACATTCTTAGCTGTAATTTGTACTTTGTGATGAACAAAAACACTAAGTAGGTGAAGCAGAATTAAACTGTCAGGTGTTCTTGTTGGGTTGTTAGCAATGTCAATCCTACATTTCAGGGAAGGTGCAGGGCAGCCAACAAACACATACACATTGTAAACAAACAGAACAAAACTTTCTGCTGCACCAATGTGTTGATCATAGAATCATAACATTGGAAAGGACTATGTAAGACCACAATCTGAAGAGTCCATGCTTAAATCTAAACTGAACTCTTCCTGACAAAATGGCTGCCCAACTTCTGCATAATTACATTCAATGAAGGAGAGTCCACTAGCTCTCCAGATGACAGGTTTTCCATTCAGACAGCTCTTTCTGCTGAATATATTACTAAATTGCCTTCCTGAAATTTCAACCCATTTTTGGGGGTGTCTCATTCTTTGGAGTGATAGAAAACAAATGTTGACTTTCTTTTGTGTGATATTCTTTCAGATATTTCAAGAGTACTATAAAATTATTGCAACAATTCTTCATTCTTTCTCTTCACAGAGCTATAGCAATAGACTTACCTTACAAGTTGTACAGAAATACATGGTGAAAAATAACTATGTGATAGATTATGTGAAACTTTGTTACATGAATACATGTATCACACACACACACACACTCACACACATCCATCTCCCTTAACATTTTACAAGTCTCTAAAGCTGGCTGTGCCATTAGGCCTGAATATCCCAGGGGACCAAGAAAATCTTACAAAGGCTTGCTTACTGCAATTAATATCATCCTTTCTGTGTTCATGTGCTTTTTATACTTTTAATAATGACTGTTTTTATATATTTGTTTTTTAATTAAATATTATACAGTACCAGAGTTCTTTTTTGGCAGGTGGGCAGCCATACAAATTTGATGAATGGAATAAGGAACAAATAATTAAATCAATATTATCCATATTTCCTGCATCATTAGTAATAAAATGATTCTATCCATACATTTACATTTATTCTTTGAACTTGGTAATTGTTCAATGTTTGCGACGTTATTGTGGAATTGTATGAAACAAGAAAAAAATATTTTTCTTAAACAAAATGATATATATATATATATCTTATAAACCACCCTGGAATTTTAAAAATAAGTGATATATGAATATGACAAATAAATATGTAAAAATTAATAGCTGGAATAGTTAAAAGTTTGTTTTGATTAATTGTAACACAATCATATTAACTCATAACACAATCTCAGTACAGGAAAGTTAATTTCCGACATCTTTTTTAGAAAACCAAAAGATTCAATTATTTATACAATGAAAAAAAGAATCTTTAATGCTTTGTTTTTCCTTCTATTTTCTAGAGTCTTGAGAGAAAAATATTGCAGTTTCTATACTTCCTGAACCAAGAACCAAGAACGAATCTGAAAGACAGTTAAAACTTACCTTGGAAGAATATTGTGCTAGACTGAAGCAGGGTGAATAAGTTCATCTCTAAAGAATTTTATATTGAAAAACCAAAGCCAGAACAACCAAAAAAAAAACCTGTTTCATACAACCCATGCAATGAACTGTTTTGCCGAACATGCAGTTGCACTAATTGTTTACTGTAGTAGATGTGGGGTCTGAAAGAGGGATGTATGCATAGTGATGGAGGGGGAAGTAATCACTCTTAAGATATATTTGAACCAATGTGCAAAATGTTGAGGTTAATGTCAATTAGGAAAGCAACGTTAAGAAATGATGCCTTTTGATATATTTCTTCCATTGCATAGCCACAATGCCGCTTTTTTGCATTCAGCCATGGAAACATCGTAAAAATTATGATGGAAATGTGTAACTTTGGGCATTGATACCTAAGCAGAAGTAAGAGGCAATCAAGTTAAGGTTTCAAATGAGCACCGTACTCATAATCTCCCGTCTCTCATCAGCACTGCTTTCTGTCAAATCAGTTTGGACTTCGTGCCTTAAGCTATTTTGCTTGACTCTTCTAGATATTCCAAAGGATAACAAGCATTCTTTCATTTTACAGTCAATGGAAGTAAACAACAGTTTATTGTGCAGCCTCCAACTTTAAAGAAATGTGCCATAGGTTCAGTCTGTCTCCTGGTAGAAGTTTTTGCCCTTTTTTGGACAGAACTTTCAACTGAGCATTTGAGATCTGAAAATAAAGACACAGAACTGTTATGTAAATTTAAGGAACACCGAAATTAACAAAACTGCCCTGCTCTATATAGTACTTAGTGTAAGACAAGTTAAAATGATTTTTTTATTGGAAAAATAATTTTTCCATGCCATTCAAGGAGCTGATAATCAAAATTCTTTGAGCTGCACCCAGTGCTATAGAAGTAGATACACCATGAAGCCTGGAATGATTGAGGCTCTCTGGACTGAGGCTAATCAGTTAACCCTTCATTGTGTCTGTAATTGACAATACAGGGAGTCATCAACTTACAGCATTCATTTAGTGACTGTTTGAAGTTACAATGGCAATAAAAAAGTGACTTATGACCATTTTTCACACTTACGACTGTTGCAACATCCCCATGGTCACATGATCAAAATTCAGACATGTGGCAACTGACTCATATGTATGACGTTTGCAGTGTCCCGGAGTCATGCGATCACCTTTTGTGACTTTCTGTCAAGGAAAGTCAGTGGGGAAGCCAGATTTACTTAACAACTGTATTACTAACTTAACAACTGCAGAGATTCACGTAACTGGGGCAAGAAAGGTCATAAATGGAGCAAAATTTACTTAGTCTCGCTTAACAACCAAAATGTTGGGCTCAGTAGAGGTTGTAAGTTGAGAACTACCTGTATTCTTTCTCTATTGCTGTGAACTGCTTTTGCTGGGGATTAATACCAAGGAGAAGCGGACGCTTCTGTCTTATACTTAAAGCAAATGATATTGCATCTAAGTTCACATGTCAATTACATGCAAATAGAAGACATTTTAAATCAGAGGTGAAAAACCTCTGGCCATTGGGAAAGATGTAGCTAATAAAACACCCACTTTTGGCTTGCAGAGGGTCTGCCTCATGCCTGAAACCCATCCTAAATTTATTAACTTTCTCCTTTCCAAAAATGGAAGGAAGTGTTTGCTCCACTGTACTGTACTGAGGAAAGTCTGCTTTTCCCCATATGCCTAGGAAGAGAAATAAACTAAAATTCAATTTGCTTCAGCCGATTCCTGCTGCATCATTATATAAGTATTAGGGATTCAATGTCCTTTGTAAACAAGGCAGAAACAACTGAACATTCATGTTTTGTCATGTTGATTAAAGTTTATTTAAACAAACCAGGAATTTACTGCAGAATAAAATAATTCTTCTTTGAAGAATAGAGAGGAAGAAGTCCAAGATTTCATATGGAACCCTTTCTGCTCATGCATATAGTTTAGAATAAATGATTTAGCATTATGTTCGCAGAAAATACTTCAGACTACAATGAATTTTAACAGAGACTTATTATTCCTCATTGCTGCTGATTATTATCCGAGAATTACAAATTGTACTAGTTTTACTGTATGTAGAAAACAAACTGCATTTCTTCCAGGAAGGTACTTTCTTCTTTCGTTCAATCAGATGCTCTACAGTGTGGAGTAGGATTTTTAACTTATTAAGTGCCTGAAAATAAATTTCTTTTAATCCTCAAAACTGGGTTTACTGGTATTTCTGACTGCTGAAATACATCCATTTTGTCATTAATAACTTCATCTGATTACAAAACCATAACTCTGAGACAGAGTAGATAATTTTCTTCATGTTAAGTAGTATTAAATTTATTAGTGGGCCCCATTGTATAAAAATATGACTTATAAAATATGACTTTGTCTAGTGACAATCCACTACAGTGTTTCTCAACCTTGGAAACCTTTAAGAAATGTGGAGTTCAACTCCTAGAATTCCCCAAGAGAATGCTGCCTGAAGAATTCTGGAACATGAAGTCCACAGACCTTAAGTTTACCAAGGTTGAGGAAGATAGTCTGTAATATAATAATATGTAAACCTGTATTAGGGAAATGAAAGCAGATATTAGAATGCAAATACCTCCTGAGCAACAACATATATTTTAAAAACCCTAACGTTTCACTTGCTGGTAGTTTTAACTCAGACAGACACTAACTAAATCTTCACTTACTCCTTCAGAACAGGCAGTGATAGGGAGAAACACAAAATGGAGTTGTGGGCTATACAAGCTACAGTTGAGTGAGGAGCACCAGTGCGCATCCAGGTTGAAAAGATTAGCCAGTGACATCACAGTTGCCTGGGTTCCTTCCATTAAGCTTCCCAGCGAAGTGGGAATTCATTTACTCATAGTTGCTCACTTTTGAACTGCTGGATCCACAAGAGCTGGAACAAGTGATGTGAGCTGTGGGTAAAACTGCCGTCTTAAATACACCTGCAAGAGAATGAGCACCAATGGGTATTTCTGAGCATATACCTTCAGTAAATTGTGCCAGTGAGGGCTACTCAGTTACTTTTAAGAGCCTGTAGACATGTTTAAGACTGAACTGCATCTTTAACTTCAGCTGTTATTGCTTACTAAATGATAACAATAAACCATCCTGCATAGTTAAAACATTTAATTTTTAGTAGGAGAATATATGAAAATTAAATCATTATATTTTTCATAAAGTAGAGCCACAATGACTGATTTGTTTAAAAGCCACTCTCAAATTCCAGACTTTTATTAAACTAATTTGTTTTATGGTATATACATCTACCTCACTAGTAAACAATGAAATAAAAATGTAATAAAAATAATATAGTAACATAAATTTCATTACATTCAGTTAAAAAAGTAAAGATTGAATTTTACAGGAATAAAGCTGGTATATAAGGCTACTGGTTTAGAAGAATATGGTGACAAAACAAAGGCTGTGGGACAGTTGCCTAATTGCACAACGCGAGTTTCCAGTCATTTTGTTTATCTAACAAATCAGCTAAACTGAAATATTTCTGTAACCACGGCCATAATAGCAATTCCTGGTTCTTTAATCCAAACTGTAGCATTTTTATATACACATTTAAATATGAGTGAGTTCATGAACATTTTAAAAAAGGAGGAGAGTTTTGTGCGTAAAAGGTCAAATATTTATTCAAAAAGTAAACTTTTTTCATTCAAAATGTTTTAAGGACATTTGGAAGAAATCAGTCATATGTCAAAGACTACTTGTATGGAAGGACACTACATTGGAAAGAGATGAGTGTGATTTTAAAACAGGAGGGAGGGAAATGTAAGTAATTTGCACTATCCTGATATACTCTTGATGGCTGAAAATGCAATGCAAACTCTAGTAACGAAAGTCAAGGAGCATAGTGGGAGAAAATGGGACCAAAATTAAATATAAAGTAGATCATAATAATTGAAGCTACCACAGCAACCAGTCTTAGATCTCACTTAGACCAGTCTTAGATCTGACAATGAAGATACTGAAGAGGTAGATAGCTTCTGCCTTTTAGGATAAACAATCAATTACAGGAACTGACAGTCAAGAAATATTCAGTTGTTTGGATGTGTCCAATATGTGGACTATAAAGATCAGAATGGTTCACGCAGTGATTTTTCCCTATGACACTTTCTGGAAGCGAAATTTGAATTTTAAAGAATTAGGATTAAAAAAAAGTATTGATGCTTTTGAACATTAATATTTGGAGAAAACTCCTGACAACACCACAGACAACCAAGAACATTTTAAAAATCAATCATTTTATCTGGCATCCTTCCTCAACTCAACTGAAGTATCATTCTGATTTAGGATATAGATGGCATACTCTTCCAAGAGTATTCAAAAATAATGCAAAAAGGAGAGGTGATCAGTGCAGAGAACTACATGGATAGTTTGAAAAGTGGCTAAAACTTCCCTTCCAGGAACTTGTGTTGAAACCACACCTGAACCCCCACAGCAACAATAGCATATGATACTTGGTGGAGAGAGAAATGCAGGTAGTAAAATCTACCCATCCCTGCCCTTTAATTCCCCAAACAGCAACACTTCCTCACCTCAACACTGAGGTAAGAGAGGCCTTGAGCACCAGGTCAGTGCAATTTATATTGATATGATTTTCTGCCTATCAAGGACTGGAAGAAAGAATATTAACACAGTTAAATATAGTTCTAGGACAGATAGCCACTGCCTCTGAGAGAATGCTATCAGGTGTCTATGTTTTTGAACTGAGTATGTCCCTGCTCGGCCAAATATGAAAGAATGCTGCCATCACTGTTTTCCACCGCAGACCCCCAGATGGGCTCAATCAAGGACCAACAACCACAACTGTACTATATACAGAATGCCATTCTGTGACCCAGGAGAACAGTAACACTCAAGATCCTGCAGAAATTAACTGCCCTATTCTTGTCCTGCCGATTACACAAAGGTGGTATTCAATAGGTTCTGACCAGTTCTGGACAATCGGTAGTGGAAATTTAGAGTAATTCAGAGAACTGGCAAATACCACCTCTGACTGGCCCCGCCCCCATCTATTCCCTGCCTCCCGAGTCCCAGCCGATCAGCTGGGTCTCCTTTTGTTGCCCTGCACAGGAGGACAGAGCTGGAAAGCAGGTTAGTGGGGTGGGGAGAGAATGGAGATTTTGCAGTATCCTTCCCCTGCCACACCTACGAAGCCATACCACACCCACCAAGCCATGCCCACAGAACTGGTAGTTTTAAAAAAATGAATCCCACCACTGTGATTACCGGATTTCCTTCCTCAG